CCTGGATAAATGGGTGTGTCATGGCCTAGACAAGGGGTTTGGGGGGGAACTAGCTGGCAGGCTGCACCTAGAGGGGGGTGGGAAATGGCTCCTTCTCAAACTGGCAGCCAGTCACAAGTGGGGTCCCCCAGGGATCAGCACTGGGCCCAGTGCTATTTAGTATCTCCATAAGCGGTTGGGATGGTGGGCTCAGGTGCACCCTGATGGAGTTTGGTGATGCCAAGCTGAGTGGGGACGCGTCGGGAGGGAGAGCCGCCCTGCAGGGAGGCCTGCGCGGCCTGGAGGAGGGGCTGAGAAGGACCTTCGGAAGCTCAGCGAGGCCAAGGGTCAGGTCTCGCACCTGGGAAAACATCGTCCAGGAGTGCAGCCCAGGCTGGGATCTACCTGCTGGGGAGCAGCCCTGGGGACAGGGACCTGGGGGACAACGAGCCCGACGTGAGTGAGCGGGGAGCTGCAAGGTGAAAGGAAGGCCACGGGGTGCTGGGCTGCACCAACACGGGTGTCACCAGCAGAGATAAAGGGGTCATTATCCCACTGCTCCGCGCTTGCCCGGCCACACCTGGAATTCTGTGCCCAGTTTATGTCCCTGCTGTACAAAAAAGCTGTGGCCAGGCTGGAGAGGGCCCAGAGATGGACCACAGAGGTGATCGAGGGACGGGGCAGCCGCGTGAGGAAAGGCTGAGAGAGCTGGGTGTGTTCAGCCTTAGAAGAGAAGGCTGCGGGGAGACCTTATCCCCGTGTGCCAGGGTGTAAAGGGCTACGGAGAAGGTGGAGACTCCCTTTGTACGAGGAGTCGCATGGAGAAGATGAGGGGTGATGGGTACAAGTTACTCCTGGGGACTTCCTGACGGGGCACAATAGGAACATTTTTCACACTGAGAACAACCAGCCACTGGAATCATCTCCCCAGGGAGGTGGTGGGTGCCCCAGCTTTGGACCCTTTTCAAGATTCGGCTGGACAGCGGTCTGGGCCAGCTTGTCTGGGCCCTGCTTTTGCCAGAAGGATTGGGCCAGATGATCCCTGAGTCCCTTCCAACCTGGGATTCTGTGGTTCCATGATCTGTGGCACAGATGGAATAAACACTTGCCTTTACTGACGTGCCTGTGGGTGGGATCACACTTTTTCAAGGAGCATGTGTGCACTCTTGGCTCTTTCAGGCCTAGCACAAGGCATCCAAAGTTGTGTCTGTGGCTTTCATTTTTTTTTCTGATTTGCAGTACTGGGCTGCATTCTGACAAATACCTGACTTGGCTGCTCCTTGAATGTGTTTATTTTCTCTGATAAATGTTTAATTCCCTGAGATGGAAAAGTTGACAGCAAGAGACTGCAGAGTGGCTCAAGTCCTACGGAGGTTTCCTGAGCCCAAGAGTTAATGTGTGCTGGTTCAGTTTCTCTGATCTTCAGACTTGGCACTTATGGCAAAACATCCTTCTGAGCTTCCCCCTCGCCTCCTCCATCCCCCAGCACCTGGAGAAACCCTCCTGGGGCCCGTGTGGCAAATGTCCTGGGCAGATTCAATCCTGAGAGATGTTAAAGACCAGGTGCTGAAGGCAGAGAGGAGCAAGGCCCCAGCTCCAGCCCGAGCTGTGCGTTTCCTGTGAACAGAGCTGCAGCAGCACAAACCTCGTGCCTGGGGGATCCCTGACCGCCAAGTACCTGACCCGTCCTCCAAGCCACGAGTGCTGGAATCACTCATGAAATGTGCTGCAGCAAGATCTGGGCCCTTGCCTGCTTCTGCCTCCTCCTCAGCGGGGTTATGAGCGATCTGGGGCTCCAGGTGTGCTACCAAACCTGGTCACTGGTGGTGACGCTCGGGGGACAGCGCATGGTGTTTGGCTGCAGGGGCTCTGCTCCTGGAAAGGGGTTTTCTGGGCCTGGAGTCCCAACGGCCCCGCAGCAGGGACGCTGTGCCCAGCCCCTGGGGTTCTCGTTCCCTTCCAGCCTGTGTCTGGGCCGTGGCGCTGGCTGGGCTCTGCCCGCAGCCCTCCCTGCTGAGCGGGGGAATCCGGACCCTGCCCCTGTGCTCTAGGGAAATGCTGCTCCTGAAGCCTTTCACAGGAGCGGAAGGGTGAGGTAGCTAGTGTGTAACGCCCGCTTCCCTACCTGCGGGCCTGAAAGGCGCCTGACGCAAAGCTTCCGACGTTGTTTCCCAAGTCCCTTGGGGCGAAGGCAGGTGGAGCTGGGCATTCCCCCGAGGTGCAGCGGCAGCAGAGGGCCGTAAGGCAGGGGCCTGGCGGCGGCACAGGTAGGCAGGTACGGGGGAAGGCACCCACGCCCCCCACGGGCGGAGTAATGCCTCGCCCTGCGGTCGGAGTTCTTTGGGGCCCCTGGACTCTGGGCTTCTAGCAGGGCTCTTGGGGGAGATTGTAACGTACGTGAGGAGGAGCTTCTGCCAGTTTAGATATCAATGGACAATGAGAGGAATAAAAAGAATCCCTTAATGAGGGGGGGTGTTGAGCAGTTTCATCAACTTTGCAGAAAAGAACAAGCTGGGAAGCAGCAGCTGGTGGCTGGTGTTGCTAAGTTGCAGCAGCAGGGTAAGGGTGAGTGCTGCCCCCCAAGCATGTCATAAAGGCTGCAAAATGGGCATCAAAATGATGAAATTCAGCCTTGATAACTGTAAGATGGTGCTGGGGGAAAAGTCTGGCGGTGCATGTGTCACAGAAGGGGTTCACAGGTTGCTCTGGGAGGGCCCTTTAAAGGTCATTAGCCCAACCCCTGCCTGGCACTACCTGGAGATGGGCGTTGTGAGAGTCTCATTGCCTGTAAAAAACGAGGCACGGGGTTTGGGGGTTGAGGGGTGACTCTGTTCCAGGGTCAGCTTCACATTCCCCAGCAGTTAAACAACGTGAACGTTGCAAACGCACGGAACAAAAGCACTGCACCGGGCTGGGAAAGCTGCACAATCCATCAACATCCTGCAGCCTGACTACGGCTCTGCATCTTCCCTTCCTCCTTCCCTGCAGAAAAACCCCAACAACCTCCTCTCAGAAAGAACACAGAAGTAGGGAATGTGTGGAGGAGAATAATGTGTGCAAAGTTACGAGAGGGCTTTCACGGGGCAGACTAAGTTATGATGTTCTGGCCTGTGAAATGGGAAACCGGGGAGGAGGTGTGGGAGAGGTTAAGGAAGTAACAAAGGGAAGGCAGATGGTAAATAAAGATCAGTTGCGTGCAGTCTCTTGCAATAACAGAATAAAGAAAATAAAAAACACCTATTAGAGGGGAAATGAAATATTTTTCATGCTATGTGCATCTCATTTGTGGAAGCCCTCGCCCAGGATCTTGTCCATGCTGAAGTTTTACATGAGTTCCATGGGAGACAGAGCAATCTCCTGGAAGACAAACTCCTGTAGGGTTCTTAAATACCCAGAAATCAGTGCTGCTTTCTCTGGAGGGTGGGAGATTGCTTGGGGGGAATAGTCCTCTGCACTCTGCTCAGACCTCTGCTGTTAGTACCCTTCCCTGGTCGGGGCTGGGGGGCCGTTGGTTGTACAGTGGATGAGGGAGCGTCTGTCTCATTTCCCATCCTGGAGGAGCTCAGTTCCTGCAGCTGTTGGTGCAGGCTGGCGGTCAGAGCCTTCCAGCTCCCAGGATTAACAGTCTGTGAATGCCATCTCTTCTCGACTCGTGTGCCTCTTGAAGGCTTCCCAGTAGAGAACTGCTTCCCAGCCTTCCAGCTAACTGGGCGACCACTTAAGCTCTTTCTGACCACGTGTTGCCGCAGCCCATCGCTCGGGGTCAGCGGCTGACCGCTACTGGTGTCCCAGGTGTGAGCGTGGCTCAGCGCCGTGGTCCTGCCCCGCACAGCTCCCACCCTCCCGAGGAGAAGGGTCCGTGGTGGTGCCCCACGGAGCAGTAAATGTCCAGTGTTTTGCTTGGAAAGGCTGGAGCTCAAGGGATGCTTTTTTCCTTCTGTTCCAACAAAGGATTACACAATGCTCTTCCATCGATATTTGGGTTTAGAGTTGTTTTTCCAATTTCAGAGACAAAACTAGAGTCGTTATGTTGTATCTGCTACCTGAAGACCTTCTCGGGTTATAACAGACACTTTGCACCAGATCCTGATGCAGTTGTGCTCTGTCTGAGCCTCGTGGGTGCTCTCCAGGGCACAGCTTCTGCTGCAAAGCAAAATAAAGCTTTCTTCCTGGTGGAGTTCCCTGGGTGCTCTAAGTCCTGAGCAGCTTGGCCCTCCCAGGAGCCCAAGAACCTTGGGTGCTCCGAGGGAGTTCTGGTGCTCTGGACTGGGAAGGCTTCTGCTCCCAGTCCCCCAAACTGGAGTGCTGCCGCTGGGGGCTGGCACCTGTAACTGGTGACCCCCGGGTTGACTTTTTTTGTGAAGTTTGTGGTTCTCTTGAACTGGGGGAACTGTCTCTAGTTTTGAAGTTGTAGTGAGCTGCTGAGGCCCTGACAAAACCATGATTGTACTATTATTTCTGCCCTTTCTGATGGAAAGGATTGCTCAGCTACCAGCTAATTTTATTTCAAACAGGATTTCCCTACTTTTATTTCAAACAGGATTTCCCTACTATTTCATCAAAAAATTCGCATATGGGTTTTCCAGAAAGTGGAAGAAATACGTCGAGGAGTTTCTTGAAGAAAAGAAAAGGTAATTCCTTTGGGGTTTCCGTTTCATTGCAATGTTCTTTTAAGTATTTATTGAGATTCTCTTTTTAAGAATATTTTGCTAGAGGAGTATAAAAGGTTGTAGATGTATGTGCTCTGTGCGATGTGTCTGTTCCAGACAAACACTGGTTGCTCCCTCAGAAGGGTGGCTGGGAGGAAGGGGCTTCGCTGATTCTGTGCTCACCTTCTTCTGTTGGGCTCTGGCCCAGCTGAGGGGAAGACTGAGTTTATGTAGGTTAATGTGTTAAAGCACGACTGCTTCAGGTGTTTATCGTTTCTTCTATTAAACTCCAAATCCTTAGGAAAGAAGGAAAACAAAATACTGGTGAGAATAAAGAGAGTGGCTCAGTGGTGCATACGGACGTGTTGAAAAATGCAGAAGGTTCAGCGAGAGGGGTACAGAGGCCTGAAACCAGAATCAACGCTGCCTATGAAGTGTTACTGAAGAATGATGAAAATACCTGTGGGTATTTAATAATCCTTTCCTTCAGAAAAAAAGTGGGGGTCTTTTTGAGAGCTGTTTTCCCCAGAAAAGGATACCTTAGTACCTGTCTAGATTGTGTCTTGTGAATTAGGCTGTAGGGAAGAAGTAACACACCTCTTGTTTGTGTTCACTTAGGCTGCAGCGATCAAAAGCCTCGTTTCTTTCTTTCTGGTTTGCTGATGTGCAGCAGCTACCACACGAGTGTTCGGGGGCTGTCCTGAGGGTGGAGGAAGCTGCAGTCAGGAGTTCTGTGACTCCAGAGCTGTTGATTCTAACAGCGAGCTGGACTTTTTTCCAGTTGCTAATTTGCATAACGAACTCTCCTCAGTCCTTCCAGGACGCGCAGGGGACTGAAGGCCTCCTCAAGGCCCCGTCCCTGGGGCTCTCCCCCTCCAGCACCCACCCCCTTTTTCAGCCGGGTCAGTTTAAACTCACATCGAGACCTTGAGCAGGTTTGTTTTATGGCATTTTAATGGTTTTGCCGCTGTTTTTGCCCAGCGATGACAGCTGGGGTGGACGGAATTGGGTGTGGAAAGGTTCCCCACGCTGCCTGTTCCCAGAGGAGATGGTTGGGAAGCCCAGGCCTCAGGGTCCCCCTGGTGTTTCTGTGCCTTGGAGCACAGTCCTGGCTTTGTTAGGGATGCAGTAGCTTGTGGTTTTAACTTTGACTGCTTTTAATATCTTGTCAGAGGTTCCTGTAGTGCTTCGGCCAAACTTCATTCTACTCTTTCTTAATACTATAATCAGATTTTCTTGCTAATGCTGTAAAAGCTCTTTTATTTTTTCTCTCATTACTTAGCATTTGTTCAGCCTGACTTTTCTTTATCATTCGACTTTCCTACATGACTTTGACAGTATTTTTAACCTTGTAAACAAAACCAAAAAGATCACCAAAGTAGCTTTTACAGTTGGTGAATGATTTGAAGGCAGGCTTGCTCCTCACCTAAACGCTTTCCAAAGAACAGCGTAACGTGGTGGCAAGTTTTACATTTTCCATGTAGTCAGTGCAAACGAGCTGGTTGAAACACAAGATGGCTCCTCCGCTTGTCAAGTCTGCAAGGGTGAATTTTCAACAGAATGTTTTGGGCAAAACTATATTTTTTTGTCTTTTTTTTTTCCTCTCGTAGATACGACGCCAAAGCGCAGTTCCGTCGCGGATAACTCAAATGGATTTTACACCCGTAGTGGCCGTCTGGTTAAACCACCGTTAAATTTCTGGTGTGGGCAGCGAGAGATTATTGATCAGAGACTAGATGTTACTCTAGACAGAGGTGGCACAGATTACCTGAGCGTGGTAAGAGTCCTCTGCTTACTGTTGTGTGGATGTGTGTTAAACGTACTGGAGAAGCTTGCCTAGGTGTCCAACAGGCAGAGTGCAGCTCTTGCAAGTGCCTGAAGAGGCAGGAGATCTTAAAAACATCATAAAAACATTTTAAAACACATAAAAAGACAGTCTAAATCTCTGCCTTATCAGATAATTGTCTGGAAAATGGGGTTAAGGGGAACTAGTTCTGGGAAAATAAGTTGGGTGGCTTTTTTTTTTTTTTTTTTTTTTTTTTTTTTTTTTTTTAAGATAAACGTATGAAGCGGGGAGCTCAGGTTTGGGGGACAGGCTGCTGGGGGCAGCACTGTCTGTGGCAGTGGCGCGTGTGCCCGAGCCGTGGCTCTGTGTGGGGCTGTGTCCCGGGGCTGTGCCGGGTCTCCCCTTCCTCTGCGGGGTGTCACCAGGTGTCCTGACCTCTCCAGCTCGCCCCAGTTGGGCTGCTCTTATTCCGACACTCCGAGCACCTCGACATTCCGGTAACCAGTGAAGGAAAGCAGCCTTCTCTGTGGGAGTTGTGAGCTGCTTTTTTTTTTAAATCTCCCTCGGATGAGTCGGTTTGTGGAATGGGGGCTGTACTGACCCCACCAGCAGCACAGTGTGTGTCCAGTTCTCCACCACCTCAAGTGCTTCTAGGCCTTCCGATTTTAACTTGTGTTTTTGAATATTTAAATTTAAAGGCAGCCTGGCTATTGCTTTGGTTTCATGCCTTTAGACTGTGCTCATCCAGTAGGATTTAGTAGATACTGGGCAATGTAGGCGACACTTAAATCTACCAATTCTGTAAACGTTTGGCTTTTTCAGAGCTGGCGTCGGTAGGCCTGCTATGTAATCTCTTGCAGAAGTTTAGATTAAATTGTTTTATTTTGAAGATGTTTAGTAGTGAAAAATGCCAAAAGACCAGTTTCATCTCTAAGAATACAAGAAACGGAATAATGAAGGCAACAAAAGAAACACCAAAAAGCCAAAGTGCAGGTAAAAATTTTTTTCTGTTTTTCTTTTTTAACGTTCTTGACTAGAATCAGCGGGACTGTGAGTTGGGTGCCGGAGCAGTATGGGGATGTCCTGTTAATGTAGAGAAATTATTTAAATCTTTTAACGTCAGTTGCTTCTTCTATGAAGAATTACCAGAGTAGCATTAAAGCCGAGTTTTACAGCTCCAAATACAAATTGTGTTTGTAACTCTCTTCTTTATTTACATAACGGGAGCAGGCGGATTTCTTGCTGTATATTGAAATGAAAGGATTCTGATTTTTTTGAAGTTTCTGCTCCTGTACTTTGACTGACACAACTATTACAGGAGCCTGAGCAGAGGTGGAGGTCACTCCCCAGCGAGCTGCTGCTCTGCTTTTACTTTTTAAGCTGGATGAGTTAAAATAAGTGAAATGATGCCTGTGGCGGGAAAAAAAAAAAGTGTATTAGCAGAATTTTAAAACTTCTGTTTTCATAAAATCTGGGAAATGACAGAACCCTGGAAACAATATAAAATATAAGCAGAAGTTTCTCTTTTAAACCAACCATAATGTTTCCTGCAGAAAAGCTACTGGCAGCGCTGGCAGAGCTCTGGGGAACATCAGCCTTTGCTCCATCAGTCACAGCCATTTAGCAGCTTTTTCTGTTTACTATTTTTTTCTCCATCTGCTCAGTACTTTCACGTTTTGTACCCTTGACACTTGTGGTTCCTTCAGCCTGTGAAGGGGCAGGAGCGGCCCGCCCATGCTGTGCTCCCTCGGAGCCTGGCCCGGGGAGCCCAGGGCTTAGAGCTGGTTTCATCCTGCCTGTTCTCTGGGAGGGTTGTGTGTCAGTGGAGCTGCTCTGCGTGCGTCTCGACTGCCAGCTGGGACGTGTCTGTAGCGAGTCGCCTCTCGCTGCTGAAGAACTGAGCCCCAGATCAGTAGGAGGGTGTGTGTGAGGGGCTCGTGTTCCCTCCCCGGGTGGCTGGACGGGACGGGAGGTGGAGCCGGCTGTGCTCAGTCATGTGTGGGGTGTTCTGGTACATGGCTTGTGTCAGCACTGGCGTGGCCAGCAGGGACAGGGGAGGGACCTGAGCCCTGGGCTCGGCACTGGGGAGGCCGCCCCTCGATTCCTGGGTTCAGTTCTGGGCCGCTCACCCCAAAAAGGCCATTGAATGACTCGAGCGTGGCCAGAGAAGGGCAACGGAGCTGGGGCAGGGTCTGGAGCACAGGTCTGCTGGGGAGCGGCTGGGGGAACTGGGGGGGTTCAGTCTGGAGAAGAGGAGGCTGAGGGGAGACCTCCTGGCCCTCTGCAACTCCCTGCCAGGAGGGGGCAGAGAGGGGGGATGAGTCTCTGGAGCCAAGGCCCCAGCGCCAGGCCCCGAGGGAATGGCCTCAAGCTGCCCAGGGCAGGGTCAGGCTGGCTCTGAGGAAGGATTTCTGTGCAGAAGGGGCTGTTGGGCATTGGAATGGGCTGCCCAGGGCAGGGGGGAGTCCC